GTGTGTGATGTGTGTGTGATGTGTGTGTGATGTGTGTGTGTTGTGTGTGTGTGTGATGTGTGTTGTGTGTGTGTGTGTGTGTGTGTGTGTGTGTGTGTGTGTGATGTGTGTGTGATGTGTGTGTGATGTGTGTGTGTGATGTGTGTGTGATGTGTGTGTGTGATGTGTGTGTGATGTGTGTGTGTGTGTGTGATGTGTGTGTGATATGTGTGTGATGTGTGTGTGATGTGTGTGTGTGATGTGTGTGTGATGTGTGTGTGTGATGTGTGTGTGATGTGTGTGTGATGTGTGTGTGTGTGTGTGTGTGTGTGTGTGTGTGTGTGTGTGTGTGTGTGTGTGTGTGTGTGTGTGTGTGTGTGTGTGTGTGTGTGTGTGTGTGTGTGTGTGTGTGTGTGTGTGTGTGTGTGTGTGTGTGTGTGTGTGTGTGTGTGTGTGTGTGTGTGTGTGTGTGTGTGTGTGTGTGTGTGTGTGTGTGTGTGTGTGTGTGTGATGTCTGTGTGTGTGATGTGTGTGTGATGTGTGTGTGTGTGACGTGTGTGTGACGTGTTTGTGACGTGTGTGTGACGTGTGGGTGACGTGTGTGTGACGTGTGTGTGACGTGTGTGTGACGTGTGTGTGACGTGTGTGTGACTTGTGTGTGACTTGTGTGTGAGACGTGTGTGAGACGTGTGTGTGACGTGTGTGTGACGTGTGTGTGTGACGTGTGTGTGACGTGTGTGTGACGTGTGTGTGTGTGATGTGTGTGTGTGATGTGTGTGTGTGATGTGTGTGTGTGATGTGTGTGTGTGTGATGTGTGTGTGTGATGTGTGTGTGTGTGTGTGATGTGTGTGTGTGTGTGTGTGATGTGTGTGTGTGTGATGTGTGTGTGTGTGTGTGTGTGTGTGTGTGTGTGTGATGTGTGTGTGTGTGTGTGTGATGTGTGTGTGTGTGATGTGTTTGTGTGATGTGTGTGTGATGTGTGTGTGTGATGTGTGTGTGTGATGTGTGTGTGTGATGTGTGTGTGATGTGTGTGTGTGATGTGTGTGTGATGTGTGTGTGATGTGTGTGTGATGTGTGTGTGATGTGTGTGTGATGTGTGTGTGATGTGTGTGATGTGTGTGTGTGTGTGTGTGTGTGTGTGTGATGTGTGTGTGATGTGTGTGTGATGTGTGTGTGATGTGTGTGTGTGTGTGTGTGTGTGTGTGTGTGTGATGTGTGTGTGATGTGTGTGTGATGTGTGTGTGACGTGTGTGTGACGTGTGTGTGACGTGTGTGTGACGTGTGTGTGACGTGTGTGTGACGTGTGTGTGACGTGTGTGTGACGTGTGTGTGACGTGTGTGTGATGTGTGTGTGTGATGTGTGTGTGATGTGTGTGTGTGATGAAGTGTGTGTGATGAAGTGTGTGTGATGAAGTGTGTGTGATGAAGTGTGTGTGATGAAGTGTGTGTGATGAAGTGTGTGTGATGAAGTGTGTGTGATGAAGTGTGTGTGATGAAGTGTGTGTGTGATGAAGTGTGTGTGTGATGAAGTGTGTGTGATGAAGTGTGTGTGATGAAGTGTGTGTGATGAAGTGTGTGTGATGAAGTGTGTGTGATGAAGTGTGTGTGATGAAGTGTGTGTGATGAAGTGTGTGTGATGAAGTGTGTGTGATGAAGTGTGTGTGATGAAGTGTGTGTGATGAAGTGTGTGTGATGAAGTGTGTGTGATGAAGTGTGTGTGATGAAGTGTGTGTGATGAAGTGTGTGTGATGAAGTGTGTGTGATGAAGTGTGTGTGATGAAGTGTGTGTGATGAAGTGTGTGTGATGTGTGTGTGTGATGTGTGTGTGTGTGATGTGTGTGTGTGTGATGTGTGTGTGATGTGTGTGTGATGTGTGTGTGATGTGTGTGTGATGTGTGTGTGATGTGTGTGTGATGTGTGTGTGATGTGTGTGTGATGTGTGTGTGATGTGTGTGTGATGTGTGTGTGATGTGTGTGTGATGTGTGTGTGATGTGTGTGTGATGTGTGTGTGATGTGTGTGTGATGTGTGTGTGATGTGTGTGTGATGTGTGTGTGATGTGTGTGTGATGTGTGTGTGATGTGTGTGTGATGTGTGTGTGATGTGTGTGTGATATGTGTGTGATGTGTGTGATGTGTGTGATGTGTGTGTGATGTGTGATGTGTGTGATGTGTGTGATGTGTGTGTGATGTGTGTGTGATGTGTGTGTTATGTGTGTGTAATGTGTGTGTGATGTGTGTGTGATGTGTGTGTGATGTGTGTGTGATGTGTGTGATGTGTGTGTGATGTGTGTGTGATGTGTGTGTGATGTGTGTGTGATGTGTGTGTGTGATGTGTGTGTGATGTGTGTGTGATGTGTGTGTGATGTGTGTGTGATGTGTGTGTGATATGTGTGTGATGTGTGTGATGTGTGTGTGATGTGTGATGTGTGTGTGATGTGTGTGTGATGTGTGTGTGATGTGTGTGTGATGTGTGTGTGATGTGTGTGTGATGTGTGTGTAATGTGTGTGTGATGTGTGTGTGATGTGTGTGTGACGTGTGTGACGTGTGTGTGACGTGTGTGTGATGTGTGTGTGTGTGTGTGTGATGTGTGTGTGTGATGTGTGTGTGTGTGTGATGAAGTGTGTGTGATGAAGTGTGTGTGATGAAGTGTGTGTGATGAAGTGTGTGTGATGAAGTGTGTGTGATGAAGTGTGTGTGATGAAGTGTGTGTGTGATGAAGTGTGTGTGATGAAGTGTGTGTGATGAAGTGTGTGTGATGAAGTGTGTGTGATGAAGTGTGTGTGTGATGAAGTGTGTGTGTGATGAAGTGTGTGTGATGAAGTGTGTGTGATGAAGTGTGTGTGATGAAGTGTGTGTGATGAAGTGTGTGTGATGAAGTGTGTGTGATGAAGTGTGTGTGATGAAGTGTGTGTGATGAAGTGTGTGTGATGAAGTGTGTGTGATGAAGTGTGTGTGATGAAGTGTGTGTGATGAAGTGTGTGTGATGAAGTGTGTGTGATGAAGTGTGTGTGATGAAGTGTGTGTGATGAAGTGTGTGTGATGAAGTGTGTGTGATGAAGTGTGTGTGATGAAGTGTGTGTGATGTGTGTGTGTGTGATGTGTGTGTGATGTGTGTGTGATGTGTGTGTGACGTGTGTGTGATGTGTGTGTGTGTGTGATGTGTGTGTGATGTGTGTGATGTGTGTGATGTGTGTGATGTGTGTGTGATGTGTGATGTGTGTGTGATGTGTGTGTGATGTGTGTGTGATGTGTGTGTGATGTGTGTGTGATGTGTGTGTGATGTGTGTGTGATGTGTGTGTGATGTGTGTGTAATGTGTGTGTGATGTGTGTGTGATGTGTGTGTGATGTGTGTGTGATGTGTGTGTGGTGTGTGTGGTGTGTGTGTGTGTGGTGTGTGTAGTGTGTGTAGTGTGTGTAGTGTGTGTAGTGTGTGTAGTGTGTGTAGTGTGTGTAGTGTGTGTAGTGTGTGTAGTGTGTGTAGTGTGTGTAGTGTGTGTAGTGTGTGTAGTGTGTGTAGTGTGTGTAGTGTGTGTGGTGTGAGAGTGTCTATAATAAATTTTGGATAAAGTCGGAACATTTGGGAGGGTACTTTATGGGAGGCCGTTTTTATATTTTATGGAATATGTCTCTTATTTATGTTTGGAGAAAAAAAATTGTTTAAATAAAAGTTACTTCTAATATTACTATCTATAATTTTTGCTTTATGTAAAAATTTCCTGAAATGGTCCGTATTCGAGAAATTTGACAAAATGTACAAAATTCTGATTCTTATGAAAATTGTTGAACTAAAAGTTGTTTGCGATATCGATCTCTATAATTTTTGTTTATATATGATTTTTCTAAAATGGACCATAATGGAAAAATGGGGGAAGAGTGCTAAATTTAAATTTTTCAGTATTTTCGTTTTCAATGAATATCTATAGAAAAATATTTCGAGGTAGATGTATGGGAAAATGTATATATTTAGTTTATCCTCTAAATATTTATAGAGGTGCTGCAATAGGTTGTACAAAACCGGAAAAAGCCTATAATAACTAGATAGGAAAGTCATGTGTTGGACACATCAGATTTTTATATACTATCTTAGAAATTATTGTAAGATGTACGGTTCCCAATATTCAGGGCCGACAAGAGGGGGAGTAGCCGGGACTAATTCCCGGGACCCGGTCTCAAGTGGGGACCTGGCAGCGGCATAAGGGGGGCCGGCAGCTTTAGGTGACGACGTTTTTTTTAGAAATGTGATATGAGAATAGGTTAATTTTTTTTATAAAATTGTTTTCGCGAGGCCCGACCTGGAAAATTGTCCCGGGGCCCGACCTGGCTGATGGTTTTATTGTATATAGGTAGATACTTCGGATCTGTGTGTTCTCAATATCTGTTTTATTTCTTGAAGTTCTTCAATGCATCCAGTTTAAATAGTTTTTTTTTTACATTTATAAGAGTCACCTCTTTTTGGATACATTTTTCTTATAAAATTTATAAAGCAGTTAGTCCTGACGCCTAACCTCAGAAAGATAAGTTCTAGGAAAACAATAATACACACATTTAACCAGTGTACAACTTCTATAGTAATGCAGTAATTTAAAGCAAAAGAACCACTTAAGCAGTTTTATTAACTATAATAAATTTATGGATAAACCTAGTAGTAACTACAGTTTACAACGGTATTATTAAGGGAATATGTATCCTATTATAATTAGTTGTAATTGAGAAGTTACAGAAACGTTATAACAACCACATATATTGTACATTTTAAAACGACTTTTAATAAATTAACGTTGTTACAACTCTAGTTAAATCATACTCAACAAATTCTAACAAAAACGTCGTACTATTAGTTTATACACTATTAAAAAGTTGTATATCAGTTATAAAAATTTAAGTTATTTAACGTGTCGTTTACGTGTGTTTTGTAACGTTTTAATTAATTATGCCAACATTTTATAACTATGTGTGTTACTTGGGTAGCAATAATTTAATATTTTAAATAAAAGTGCCTAGATGTTAAAGACATACCTGTATTTTGTTTAGTAACTTCACAGTAAAAATATGTTGAATTAAACTTCGAATATTTGTCACACTGGCATCGATTTGCTGAGTTGCAATAAGCATGTGGACCCATTGCATTACACCAATCATTATTCATACAAGACAAAGTGTCTTGAAGTGTTGCTGAAAAATAATTATTTCACCTTTACCAAAGATTTAAAACATCATTAATTGATTGTGTTTGATTATTTTTGCAAAGACTATAAAAAAAGTTTTAATTAATTGAAGACTTACTTTTAATACAATTTCTATTTGATTCATCTCCAAACCAATAGTCTAAACAGTAACATGTGTTATGCTGCCACGACGAAGGTTTTATAACACATTTACTTGCACTTGTCAAAGATGAGTCTGCCATACCGAGTTCTGGGATACATTTATTGCCAAAAAAGAAGTAACCTTGTTTACAAACACACGAATTATGAAAACACATTGTGTTTGCTTCAGTGCAATCGGCACTTTTATCACAAATTCCAAAACCTAGAATTAGTATGAGATAATATTTACATTTGCAATTTAAATTGACTGATGGTACCTGGCAGACAGTTTCCTTCTTCATTGAGAAACTGATAGGCACTTGAACATTTGCAAATTTTTTCTTTTTCATCACAAAATGAATTTTTCATATTAATACAATCATTATCATATGTACAATTAATGTTACCTACAAAATAAGATTAAAACTTCATATGCGTTTATTTGTAAATAAAATTTCTACATACTTCCATAAATGTAATCACTTTTTACGTCTTCGTAGTCATTGGGTACTTCTTCAAAATTATGTTCAAATTGAAGAATTTGGTCAAGCAATAAAGTGTCATTTTTCTTAATACACTTTCCAATATGGCAAATCAATTTATCGTCGTTGCAGTCCATATCTATAGCACATGCTAAAAAATTAATCGTGTTACCAGTGTCAATATTAGAAAGGAAAAATTAAAAAAATAAAAAACGAACGAGATTCAAATAAGTATAAACTGAGGAGATATTTTAAACAACTGCTTGAATTTTACGATGTATCAGAAAGAACTGGCCTGATATCAGCACATACTTTATAAATCATAATAAAATAAATACAAGATTCAATAAAGAAAACGTAACTGAGAAATAGAAAGATCGGTCAAGCACCAATCGTGACTTACGTTAATTACCAACCGCTTTATTTTCGAAATAACGAATGCACGCAAATATGACTTTATAGAAAGTTCGAGCAGACAAAATTTATTTTAGGTATAACGTTATATACTCGGGTACTTTCGGTGTGACCATTGTTTAGACAGTATTGACTTTGTTCCTATCATTTGTTTAGATCGTGGCAATCGTAGTTTAGATTAATATATTTGAGTGGATAATTTTTTTTGGAATTAATATTATTAGCAGAGACGGATGATGATGATATAGAGTTCATACTACTAAATATTTTTGGAAATGATGAAGAACCGCATGGTTTAAATAAACTTAAATAAAATAATAAATTCCAATAAAACACTCCTAACAATGATCCAACAATATTCAGCCTCTTCCCAATGTACTTTAAAAAACCACAAAAACAATAAAATGTTTATATTGCCACTAATATTTTAAAATTACTACGAATACAGTAGACGCCAACAAACACAAGCGAAGCCAAAACAGAAACAAGAAACCGGGAAACCGTCTCAAAAGACAAATGACAAACGGCACTATGGATGATATTAAATTCGGATATATTCGGCTTCCTCAAAGAAGTATTATATATATATATATATATATATATATATATATATATATATATATATATATAATATTTATAAAACAAAATTAAAGTACATTTCTGAAATATTACTATGTAATATTTCTCAAATATGTCAAATATTTGATTTCTGAAAGATATAAAATTTTTACTTAAGTGAAATATTAAATTTACAGGGCATTTTTGGCACATTTCAGAAATGTTTCTGGGACGTTTCGTAATATTTATGCACCATTACAAATATTTATATGTAACATTTTTGAAATATTTCCGAAATGTTTGTGCTGTATGGGTGTAAAGTCAACAGATGCGTGTGTTTTACAATAACAGACCAACAAATAATGGTAATGAATAAAAACCAAACCACGATCGATAATATTATATAATTCTTGGATTTAGACTACGTTACTACCAAAACAAATATAATCAAGGAATTTCCAGAATTGATCGTTGTTTATTTTTAGATGCTCACTTTCGTTTTGCGTATGTCTTGACAATTCGTTTCTATTCAGAACCGGGAACTGATTTGACAGTACAGAAACTGTTTTGTAATTAGGTTTGGTTGTGTTGAAACACGTTTTTTTACAGAAAACCATGTGGTAACATTTTCAAACGATTTTAAATTTATAGTTAATTAAATTCATAAATACTTATCTAATTGGTAGGTACTTACTGTGCTTTCTAGTCTTTATCCTACAATCATATACTCTATCATAATAATTTTTGCTACAAGTACACTTTCCAGAAGAACATTGTAAGGCCAGAGGATCGTTCTTATCGTAACAGTCGATATCGTTTTTACAACTATCACCTTTGCCGACATATTTTTGACATTTCCCTTTGTACCATCTGAATCTGGTGTCACAAACACAGACATTGTTGATACAAGATGCGTTGTCTCCCAACCATTCACATTGTTTGGATTTCTTACAATACGACTGGTATTCTACCACATCTAAAAAAACACGGTTTTCTAAATACATGCTTAAATAACGACTGAAATAAAATTTTATTTCCTTAACACAATGACTGCCACGGTTATTTTCAGGATTCCAGTCATGTTCAATTATTAAAAACTGATTATAGTACATAGTAAGTAATCAACAAGAAGCATATAATGCAGTCATAGAATTACTACAAGAAACGTTAGTTTTCGTTCTTATAGTTACCTATCACGTAAGAATTAAAACTGTCTTCCAGAAATATAAAAAACCAATGTATTCAAAATAAATTCAGAAAATTTTATTAAAAATATATTTAAAAAAATATATAATTCTACTAGGAAGAGATAAAACTAGCAACCTAATAAACAGTACCTAAAAACTAAGTTTAAATTAGTTAATTAAGAAATGATTTCTCCTTCCTCTCTCTACCAAAAAAAAAATATATATATAGATAACATACTTATATTAAATACTTTATTTTTTTACACACGTTACACATGTTTTATATTTTCCTTTTAGTGTCCATGCACAACCTCATTGGTTCAATGGACTAAATGTATATCTATTTATTCAGCATCTATAATTTGTAAATAAAAAATTGTAAAAACAATTATTGTAATGAAAAGAATAAATAGAGTTTATTATTATTATTATTATATAAAATGTTTTTCTTTAAAAGAACCAAAAGTGGTTAACAGCTGTCACTACCAAAAAAAGATTTGTATTGCGCGCAAAATTATTTAGTTATTTAACTTGCAAAGCGCTCACGGCATAACGCCATCATCAGTGCTCATCTACAAAAATTGTAGGTGTAAGTATACGATATAAAAATAAGTAAATATAAACAAGACATTTGATCGCGGAAGTTAATGCAAGTTAATTTGTATACAGAAACGCATTATTTTTGTTCAATCAGTGATTAAAAGCCAACCTTTTGTATGGAAGATTGTATTAAATAAAAATATTCATTTGCTTGTTGATTTTAAAATCATTTTATGTCATCATACTTTCTATTCATTTGTTAATAAATTTTCTGTTCATGTAAATCAGTCTTCATTTGTTGTTCTCTTGACGTTATCTATCCACTACCAATTTAATCGTAGCTGCACGAATATAGTATATAAAAAACTACGAGATAAGTCGTAGTCAACGTGTTAACAAATGCCACACTGTATATTATAAATGATCAGACATTCAAATTACAAAAAATGTAATATTTTTAAATCGTATTTTTATCAATAAAATAAACACAAGATAACATTCAATCAAATTTCGATAAGTATAGGTATGCGATACAAAAATCTTTAACTATGGAAATGTTTTCCTCTATAGAGAACAATGAGTGTATTGGGATTTTTTTTGTAGACTATTAATTATTTACTTACACGGTAGGCAGCTGCCATCAGTATCGGTATAAGAAATTTGATCACAAACACATTTTTTATCTTTGCATATGGCATTACCGGTGCAATTTGAGTTATAACTACAATCTTCATCCAATGCAAATATTCCAGAAATCCCTGAAAAATAATATAAAAATAATTAATCTCTAGAACGAATAGAATAAATAACAATGAATTTATAAGTAAAAAGGTTTATAAAAAAATCAAAAACAAAAACATAAAGCTTTAATAAGGTAAAAAACTGTGTAACTTGTACATTCTGTATAAAATTAATTAATATAATGTAAATAATAAAATTATTTTGTAAAACTATACGTGAGCGTATACTTAATATAATAATATGGTATAAAATTAAGACTTAAGACATATTATATGTGGTTTGGCGAATAGACTCAGTTCCCGCAGTCAAAAAATAAAAAAAATTACTGCAAGCCAAGCAACTTTGCAATATGAATTACGTTGCTATCATTTATACATACATTTTTACAATTAATAATTACTTGACAAATTAATAGAATAAAACAAAAGTATCCTACGCCGTGTACCTAATTACTGTTCTTGTTTATTAAATACAACCAAATATAAATCAATACAATATAACAATCAACCAATCTATATATCATTACTATATTAAATTTACTGTAACGTTTGTTTATTTGTAAATAAATTATTTAAATACTTATTTATTTTATAATAGAGCTGTAAAAGTAACGAGAAAATCAATACCCGTATGTATTCGTTACTTCAGATCTGACTACCCGTATAAAAATATTCGTTACTCGTTACTTTCGTTACTGTGATGCAAATCTACAGAACATGCGGCGCATGGGCCTCGCACACGTCTAATGCGGATGCGGAATTGGTGTCTAACTAATCGTACGTACGCATTGGTTCGGTTGTTAGGTTGGTACTGACAGGGTTGCCAATCTGTGAGTAATTCCTCACATTTGTGAGTAATTTACTAGTCTGTGAGTAATTTTGTGAGTAAAGGGCAATTGTGAGTAATATGTGAGTAATCGGGAAGTCAGCGTGGGTATATTCATGGTAGTTAGGCAAAATCCTGATCGCATAATTTAATAAAACCGTGTTCTTTTAAAAAAATTTAATATAAGCCTAATTTTACCCCCTAGCACTTTTAGCAGTCATAACAATTTTGTAGTTTTAAAATTGCAGCGTCCTCTATTGCTTGGTCAATGCAATAGAGTAAAAGTGATTTTGATGTTTTACAACCCCTAGGTGTCTTGTCGATAGTGATAGTCCCATTGGGACTGTCCCAATCGTCGATTAATATCTTTTTTTGTTCATTTTTATTAGTAGATTTTTTTAAGTATTAGAATTAATGATTTATTATTATTTCGCCCATTAATAAAGAATATGCTCTAATTCTCCATCCCTTTTTGTTTAGCTGATTACAAAGATGTTTTATATACAGAGTGATTCATAACTATTGGGACATAGGCTAAGGACAGGTTATTTGTACCAAAATATGGCGATAGGGCCAAATATATCTTAATAAAATATTGCTGTGGAATAAGATACAGGACGTTAAATAATAATAATAATAGTAATAAAAATAGACTATAATCTAACAGCAAATTATTTGACACTGCAAAGCAAACTTTTCATAAATGAAATATTTTGTTAGTTGTTCAATTGCGTTTTTCTCGATAACGGGTAAAATTTCTAATCAAATATACTAAAAAGATTCGTAAAAAAAGCTACCAATTAATTTCATCATCAGGAATCATTCACGTGGCGCCTTCTGTAACAAAATGTGAAATAATATATAAAATATTATTTCTTGTCGAAAAATATGCCTTTGTACCAATTTTGATAACAATTCATAAATATACAGTGACATCAGAAAAAAACGAAAAAACGGAAATAAAATTTAACACCCTGTATCTTATTCCTATCGCCATATTTTTGTGCAAATAACCTGCCCTTGGCCTATGTCCCAATAGTTATGAATCAACCTGTATATTACTTGGTTATTAAAATAGTGAATGCACAGAAGAAAAGTGCATCTGTTTTGACTCTTGTATGTTCTGAAAATTGCTCTTTTGATGATTAGCAACATTGCACAGTAGTAAAATAAATTCAAACAAAAGTGCAAGAGTACAAAATATACAATTTATATAAAAAAACTAGTAATTGATATTTTGAAATTGTGAGTAATTGTGAGTAATCCGGAAAAGTTTTTGAGAGTAAATCGGTAAAGACCGGTTGGCAACCCTGGGTACTGTCTAGACATGGGTAACGCAGCGCTGCGTTGCGTTATTGCGTTAACGCAGTTGTATGCGTTATGAGCGTTGATACACCAGCTGTTACTGTATCAGCGCAACGCAATTTTCGATACTGAGTCGAAAGGATCGCGAGTTGTTGGTGCGCCATGCGCCAGGCACTGATTCCGTTTTCCGTGACGAGTTGAGAATTTTAATTTACGTAATTGATGCAACTCGTAATGCAGATTACCCATAATCTATCAAGTAATTATGTTCTTTGCAACATGTCACATAATTTTTTGTAGGATTGTAGGTCGAATTTTATGGATTTTAACCTTGTACACTGTCAGTTTTTAGTTCTTCCCATTTTGATTGGCTACTAGTATACAAAAATTATATCCTTTTTATATAAATTGAAATTTTTGTATTCTTTGTAAAATCCGAACACAATGAAATAAAAAATGGGTGCATTATACTATTATATTTTCGTTTATTTTTAAACATACAATTTAGTTAAATTCCCAATTGCGTTATTGCCTTGAACACGGTTTGACCCTTATAAAAGGACAGCCCGCGCTGAATAACACCGGTATCATGCGATACACCGAGATGCATCGACTTCATTCGGCGCAGGCAGTGGTGTGACGCAATAACGCAATTGCGTTAACGCAATGAGTTGGCGCAATAGAGTGCGCCGGAGTTAGTGTATTAACGCAAAGAATTTTAGTGCGTTACCCATGTCTAGTACTGTCTAACAGGGGGTGCGGATGAGATTAGATATCGAATCGTTGGTTAATTAAATACTTAGCGAATTTGTAATTAGTAACAAAGTCGTGTAGTTCACTGAGCATGAGCAATGACGTAAAGTTTTGCAAAATAAAATATCGTCAGACAGAAACATATTTTTCTAACACACTAGTAGAAACAATAATAATACTCCATAAAATCATAACTTAAATAAACAAAAACATATTATATTCTTGCAACACGCTAACAGGAAAACAACTATTATACTATTCTATAAAACCAAAATAAGTCCCAGTCGGCGTGCGACTTGATAGTCGATAGCTCGATTCGCATCAGACTCACACTCGCATTTCGCATCTTGCACACCAAACCGGTATGTTTGTGCGATATGCGACGATGCGGATTCGAGTAACGAAGTAACGAAATTTAAAATGCAGTAACGAATTCGTATTTCGTATCTGACCGACTACTCGTTACTGAGTAACGAATACATACGGTTTGCCACAGCTCTATTTTATAATCTTCACTGTCTATATATAACTGCCGCGTTGTTTCTCCACCAATATTTAGGTACAAATTTAAAATTCTGATGGATTCGAGAATGATCTTCGCCAAAGCTAGAGACATTATCACGTTCTACCTGGGAAGATCTCGAAAGCGCCTCCGCCATAGCCATCACATATGTTTGGTCTTAAGGGATTTAATTATGTATGATAATCGGACAAGTTAAGCCCTCAAATGCCAAATAAGACAGAGAGGGATTTGGAGGATTAGAGCATGACTGCATAATGAAATGGCTCACATTACATTACTATGGAAATAGAGAAGGATAATTTAATAAATTTTTTAAACCTAAATATCATTAAAATTAATAAAGCCCACAGTTTTGGGATATTTCATTATAGACCAGAGCATACTGGCGCATTCGTTTGCAAAATTGTTTTAATTTGTAATTTTTTTTTAATATCCGGAAGGCTTGCCTAATTATAAAAGTGTAAGATGACACTCAATATTTGTTGATGTTATTGTTTAAAGAACGAAAAATTAATTCATTGCAAAAAATGCATTTTTCGCACTACGAAACTAGCCCGACTCATAATATTATCACCACAACGGACAACCAATCTTAATTTTTTTGTAGATAAACTATTGTAGTTCTAATAATGTTTTATACAGATGTCCCAAATTGTACGGATCCAATCAAAACAGTTTATAGATTTCATAATTGTAAGCCAAACAGTTCATATTAGCATAGAAACATTGATCAAATTTCGATCAAAAGTTAGATAAGTAATTAAAAATATCAAAATATTAAATATCACAAGGGGCGTGCAACTGAAAATGTATCATTTCTATCAATTTTGAACCAACAGTAACTTTGCTAATTATAGAAATCGCACCATTGTTAATATGAACCATTTTGCTTAAAATTATGAGATCTTTAACCTGTCTCCGTTTTATATAATTTGGGATACCCTGTATATAAGACCTCTGAAATAGGGGTCTCGAAAAAATTTATTATTAGTAATAATACCTACTAAATATTAAAAACCAATGGTAAAATTAGAATGGTAAAATATCTGACACTGAAAGAGCCCTTCCTCAACTATAATAATTATATCTCTTTAAAGAAAATGGATAATTATATTTTTTTATTAGAAAAACCATAACTTACAATCTTGTTTAAAAATCATATTAAATTTTCTCCTCGTCTACTGATTCTTCGCTGTCCTCTTCAAAAACTGGCTTTGGTAGCTGGCATTTCCATTTTTGGTTAAGAGTTTAAACAAATTTACCTGTTCAGAGGGAGAAGGGTTCACCTATACATCTGTTTTCATGGCCAGGTTCATTGAAGAGTAAAAAAGGTCTTCTTTGGATATTGATGCTTTTTCCGTGGCTGCTACGTATTACGGGATTTTCTTTGTTATTCTCAAGGGCCCACTGCTTGAACGAGGGCCTGCCGGTCTTATGACCGGTAGAACGACGGCTGACGACCCAATCCGACACTGGTTGGGGGTAGCCGAGATAGCTCTGTTGAAGAGGCCATTAAACCTCTTAATACATTAAGAGAAAGAACAACAACGAATATAATTTTATTACAAATTTTTTAATAATATTAAACAGATCTTCGGAATGGATCTTTTTAACCATTCCAGTAAATTGACTCGTTGTATCGCATCCTGTTAAATTATGGAAAGCAGGTAGGTTGTTCGTTAGATTGTCATTAAGGGCTATTTTATGAACTGCCACGTAACCAGTAAAATTTCTGATTCAGGCTTTTAATCAAATTTCACTAGGAAGGTTTTTAAAATACACCAAAATAATAGGCACATCGGTATTGTTAGAGTCAATAATGCATGTAGAAAAACCTTCCGATTTAGCACAGAGTACATGAAGTAAAATTCTAGTGTCAGCTTCTTCATGGTTTGGTTCTAATAGTTCTCGATTGTCTTCACGAATATCAATATTGGATTTAAAGGCTGTAATGTTATTAAATCCGTTACTCGTTACAAATTGTATCTTATAATCATGGACACCGTAACCAGGAAGTTCGTTTGATAAAATATTGGTTAACTGTTTATTCAGTGAATAAATAAATTCCATTGTTGTGGAAACGGGATCTCTTAATTAGTAATAATTCTATTAAATGATTTGGAAGAGTAACAACACCTTTAATCGAATTTTTTGTGTAACGATCAAAAACAACGTCAATATGTGCTTTATATTTGTTTTGAAATACAATTTTTGAAAATATATCAGAATATTCCTTAAATCAAAAGACAAGTGAAAATTCCAAAAATAAATAAGAGGTCGACCAAAAATCGATAGATTTTGAAAAGATCGGCGAAGCATCGGAAGACGAGGAGAAAATATAATACGATTATTACACAAGATTGTAAGTTGAAGTTTTTCTGATAAAAAAATATGAATATCCATGCTCGTTAATTGAAGAAATATAATTATTAAAGTTGAGGGAGGGCTCTTTCAGTGTTAGATATTTTCGCATTCTAATTATACTCATGACACAATATTTGTTTTCAATATTTAATAGGTATTATATTATACTATTCCAAATTACCTAAAACGGGGTTAATTGGAAACCGCGGGGCTATTTGGGACCAAAAAAAAAATTTGCAACGCCGCCGCAACAGGTGCACGTCAAACCAAAATGTGCACCACGTGGTAGCATGTTTAGGGCAAACGTGATGACTCGCTTCAGTAAATTGAATTAACTGTTGAAAGCGTGAGGTGACTTCAAAGACATTGTGAAAATCGACGTAAAAAACGATAGTGTCTAATTTTCTGTTCTCGAAATTTGACTGCTGGTGATAAGGTAACTTTGATAGTTGTAACCACAAAGCACATAGAGGTTCCACGTGAATGACCAAGGTCAAAACCGACAACTGACATTTTTTATGCTATTTGCTCCAAACTCTAGATGGGGCTATTGGTGAAATTATGATTTCTTACTCCATTTTTAAGCCTTATGGGAGAAAAACTTAACCAAAGACTCCAAAGATGTGACGTGTATTTATTTATTTTCTTGGTTAGTTTCATTTTTCCGTCTGATTTTAGTGATTTTTTGTTGGCTTTGGCTTTTGGTTCCTGTTTATAGTTTCGTCTTAGTTATTTGCAAAATTGTGATGTTTCGCTTTTTTATTTCCTACTGTGTTTTGCAATAATTTTGGTGCTACGTTGAAAACTTCGAGAAAAACTTCATTGATTCACCATATATTCACCATGCATCTGCATCATAAAAAGACAAACGGGGACAACAACTAATTGATAATCAATTTATCACTGGACTAGATTCCAAAATCATTTTTCACATAATAAGAGAGTAATACCACCATCTGTATTTGGAAGGAAAATGCCTATTTATCATTGAATGAATAGTTAAAAGGATTCACCTTTTAATACAATACCTATATTACATTTGTCCTCAGTTAAAAAGACATTTATAAAATATATAACTTTAGTGTTAATAAAATGTAATATCCTAGTCTCTACTTCACATTTAAATTATTGATAGGTATTTTAAAGATTTGAGATTATATATCTATTTGCTCCAAGTAAGTATTCGTTAAATTTGTATTATTATTTGTATTTATTTTTATCTAATAATATTTATTTAAGTTATTAATAAACATATTTTAAGAATGTTCTATTTTATTATTTATTGATATATCTTATATTTATTTAATAAAAATATGCAGAACCAACTCTCCACATTAGACCCCTCATAACAAATTAATTCTTCAAATTTGGTATAATCGACCTAAATTATTTTGTAAAATAAAAGTTTCGAACTTACTAGTTCCATACTTTATTTTATAAAATAATTTATGTGGAAATCATTTAAAATTTAATTTAAAACTACTACCTACTCCTAAAAATTACAATTTGAATTTACCGCCATCTGTCAATTGTCATTTTAGTTCCAGCTCCAAACACAAGGTGGCGCTAATTTGGTTTAAAAGTTTAACATTGGCGTGGGGTCTCTAGAAGATACATGCTTTGTGGTTGTAACTAATTGTTAAGACGACTGTAGATGACTTAACATAAATACTGTAAAGATATATTACATGTTAGATTTTTAACAGAGTATTTTTTTAGTGGGGTGATTTGGAACATAACAATGGGTTTATTTGGGACATTGGCAGGTTAATTGGGACAGCAAAAAACATGAAATATGTGACCGATAACAGTGAGTTTTTTGCCTGTACGCTATAAAAATGGTGCGAAACTATCGAAGAAAAATGAGTAATTGCCAAAAATAAATATTTTTTTAATGTTTTTTGTAACTTAGGATAATAATATTATTTGTAAACGTTTGGTTACAACTACAAAATAAATGTTTTTATTTATTTTGAGTGTCCTGAAAAGCCCTAACAATCAATATTATTCGAGTTCTAACGCAGTTTGCGATTAGTATAGCCCCACCCTACGGGGTAGTTTGGAACCGCTATAAAAGAAAAAATGTTCCCTCTGTAATAAGGAAGGCTCATTGTTTCACATAAGACAGATATATCTACTACCTTTCAAAATATATATAAACAAGGTAGATAATAAGTACATGTTTGAAGTACCAGTAAAAAATGTTTCTAATTTGTCCCAATTAACCCCGTTCTACGGTATATAAAACGAAGATAATTTTAAGCAAAAAGGTTATTAACAATGGTCCGATTTTCATCAGTAGTAAAGTTACTAGTGGTTCAAAATTGATAGGAATGATAAATTTTCAGCTGCACACCACTTGTGAAATTTGATATTTTCTTGGTTTTTTAATTAGTTATCTAACTTTTACATCTTTTGACTTTTGATCGAATTTTGGTCAATGTTTGCATGTTACGTGTTAATATGAACTTTTTTGCTTACAATTATGAAATCTATAAACTGTTTCACTTGGATCCGTACAATTTGGGACATCTGTTTAAAACATTATCAGAATAAGAATAGTTTATCTACAAAAAAAAATTAAGATTGGTTATCCGTTGTGGTGATAATATGAGCGGGGCTAGTTTCGTAGTGCAAAAGACAAAGATATATGTTTACAATTATAGGTGCAACTAAGATGGAATATAGAAAGCGATAACACCGTTAGCAGAGTCTAGATCTCTAGAACTGTCGAACAGGAAAATACCGTAGGTTCAATACCCCCTTTAACACCTAGCAGCCAGCTACCAGGGGGTCGATTCTCGACTTGTAGGAACCTTTTCCTATAGGAATTTGTGACACTTTCCTATATGTAGGAAAATGTCATAAATTTTCGATGTACATAAAAATGTCAAAAATTCCTATAGGAAAATATTCCTACGAGTCGAGAATCGACCCCCAAGCAGACTCAGCGACAAACTTCCAAAACGACTGGATGATTATGTGTTGAAATAAAAAAAAGGGAGACGAAACACGCTATATATAATTTTTTTCGTTTTTCACATTTGATAGATTATTTTATTCACTGTCATTTTGGAAAAATTAAATGTTAAATACTTTAACAGTATTTTTATGTTACTGTTAGTGAATATACAACAAAAACATTCTAAATAAAATAATAACTTGCCCAAAATCTGTAAAGAGATCACACAAATTATAAAGTTAGAGAGCATTATCAAACACAAACACAAACACCTGTTAACTAGATTAAAATGAAAGTGTAGTGCTATTTTAAAAAATCAGATAAAATATATTTAATTCAGAAACTCATCAACATAGATAAATAAATAGCTCATCAACGTCCGTATCGATATTTGCTCGGTTTCCTGTTTTTTATTTAGTAGTTTCTAGTACTTAGGTACATTTTCTAATGGCTGTAAATAAAATGTTTAGCAAATTAAACTACAAAACTATCGTGTTTTCGTATGTTCTAAGGACATAACCGGGGCACATTTGTCACCTTAAGATATGAGGTGTAAACTATGTTAATTAATTTTAAATGAAATAAATCTGATTTTAATATAGAATCGAATTTAATCGGTGTTAAGAATAATAGTACATAAAATGAAACGTATCGAATGAATACCTATCCAAGAATGCCGTGCTAATCACCAAATATTCTTATGTGTCCCAGTTCGACGTATCGTTCTACGAAATATGAGTAGCACTCGTGAATCATGACAGGGTGGTCCTAGCCTAGCGATAAACGAAACATCCGAGTGGTTACAGAAGGTGATAAACATTCACACTGTGCTGGATGAGATTTCATCAGGTGGATCTAACCTCTCAGAGTATGATGCAGATGTGTTGAAGTAACTAACTTGGATACAGACGGACAAGATATGTTCGATGAGCAAAACAATTTTGATACTGAAGATTAATTGCCACCATCAACCCAAATAACGCCACTCAACTCCTTTTACAAAAAGCGTTGAAACAAATTCTCCTAAGAGTTTAGGGACTTCGGTGGATTTATTTTTGGCTATGTTACACTGTTTTCCAAACAAATTTGTATACAGTACTAAAAAAAAACACGTAAAAAAGGACGCTCGAACCACAAAATTTAATTGGAGTAAAAAAAGCCCAGCTATAGAGATTTCTGCTCATTCATTTTTGTAATTAGGGACCAGTAAATACATGTCGAGAGACAAATTTGGATGGCCGCTTATTTATTTTCATCTAAACGACAATTCCATGGAAATTAAAAATGTAACAAGAACGATAAATTATAGAAACTATAATTGAACAATCAGCAACCTATATTTGTTCATTTCAGCCTAGCAGGCAACAATCCATAGATGAATCCAGGGGCAAAATAGCTTGAGTCAATATATGCCAATGAAGGCGATAAAGGGAGGATATAAAATATTGGTACGTGCTGATTAGTCAGGATACGCCCTGAAATTTAAAATATACAGTAGAAAAGTGAAAAGGAAAAGATCGAAGAATCCACAGTTGTAAAAGATCTCATAAGAAACTTAGTGGGAAAAAAATATCAAGTATATTTTGACATTTATTTGAATTTTGTGGAATTACAACGCGATTTGCTAAATGAAAAAATCTACGCTTGTGGAACGGCTCGAGCAGATAGATGATCTAAAAATGAAGAAGAAAAAGATGATGAAAAGAATCGAATTCAATTGGAAATTGAGTGAAGATGGCGTTCTGGAAAGATGGAAAAAACATATTCTTTTTTTTTTTAATTATTTCAATAGTTCTAAAGAAAAAGACACTCCAAATAGGAAACAAGAAGATGGGGCAAATGAACAGATTAATATGGGTTTCGTGGATAAGTCTGATGAATTAAAATATTGTTACAAGTTGGATAGAAAATCCAAACAGTGAGGACATATCATTTTTCCATTTTGTTGACTTAACATTAGTAAAATCCATTATAATTTTTAAAAATGTAACAACTGGTACCGGAATATCTTTAAAATACTTTAAAATTGAAAACTGATAAGGCTGCTTTTATACATCAGCATGGATCTAAAGTACGTTGTGCACATTGTAGTACCAAGGTACTACCTCATCGCACAAGATGGTAGTGTACTAGATGTAATGTAGTTTTATGTCTATCTACAATAATATTTTATAATAAATAACTAAATACCTAAATAAGTAGTTTTTTCGTACAAAAAGTCGATTTTTTCAATAAATGAAATAAAAAAATATTAAATTTTTCCATTATTTTTTTACCCTAATATCCCATAAAAATTAATCTCACACCCTTTAGTTTGAGAAAAAAAAGTTCATCCGCAAATGGTAAGCTAACTAAAAAACATGTGTGTCTTTGTCTTTTTTTATCACCATCTGCATACATTGTATAATTTTCAAGTGATTCAAAGTATAATACCTACTTATAGATTAGATTGACTAGTAGACACCTGTGGTTAGGTACTGAGTCAGCATATTTAAATTTTACTTTATTTTTTAGATGAAGTTAGAACATGACGACAGCGGCATCATCTTTTGGTGTATATCACACAGGATATTTCCAAATTTTCTCCTAGCAAATATAACTATTGTCGGCATAAACTTGACATGTTATGCCGAGGTCAATCGATCTGCATAGAAGTTCGTCTATGGTTAGACTCCACATTAGTGGGGAAAGAACTCCTCTGGTTGTACAGACTTTTGAAGTACAGATGGAGATGGTGTCCTGTCCAATCTGTGTCTTTGCAATTTTCGTAGATAACAACCAGTAGCGGCTTGTCACTTGTGTAATAGGGGGAGCACCAAAAAATTAATACCAAAAATCATTTAAACTTAAACGGCTGAATACAAGGCTTTTTAATTCCGTCACTTTAACGATAAATAATTATTACGAAGATAAATAATTATTACGAAGATAAATAAACAACACCACACTGGATCAACATAGCAAAACAAATCACAAAGCGATCGCCAGATGGGCTGAGGACTGACGGAGCTGCGCCCGCCAAAGGCGCCAACGCACGTATCCAAAATTCATAATTTCTTCTCACTACTCCGCGATTTATAGCAGGGACAGAAGTTGGAAAGGCTTTTTGCAATTCTCCCAATTTGACAATTCAATGTCCTGTCAGAATGGACAAAAATGCCCTATGCTTGGCGAAAACAAGCTTCTTAACCTGACTTTTTCATTAGTATTTGACTGTTATTGCAAATCGTGCAATTAATATTCTATATATTCAAAATAAATATTTATGTATGCCATTTTTAAACTAAACATACCGAAAACAACTCTAAATACTCAAAAAAAATAATGCAAACTTAGACTAATAACCTCACTAGAAGTGTTTTTCCCAAGGAAAGCATGTACTTTTGTTGTTTTTGCCAAAGGTCCACCATTTAAAGTCACGTGATTTGGATTGCCTAATTCACACACAGAAATTGATAGTTTTGCGGCGGAGGTAACCGAAGTGGACGCGATACATTGGCGTATAAAATTATTTTATAGTTGTTAACGATTTCGGGTAAATAGTTTCATAAATTTTAAATAGCTGTTGAAATTTTGTAGAATTATAATTTGAGATATTATAACACTTGTTTAATAATTTTTTTAGTCCATAAATACATGCGATTGTGCGGTTCCGCCGGCAACAATTTAAAAGTACTTATTCTATGAAACGACACTGGCAGATAAACATAACCGCGAAATTCTTGAAGTCGTCCGACGTGATTTGTCGTTTACCCCCTCTCTACTTACCAAAAGCCATTCCAACTTCTGCTCCTGCTATTCGCGATTCAAATTAAGTGATACGCCCTCTGGAGGAAATTTGTAGAAAGTGCCTATAAGTAGGATATCATTCAGTGTTGCCAGAAGTAGCGAAATTTCGCTACGTCGCGAATTTTAGCCCTTGAAGAAGTGGATAACACCTTTTAAGAATCAACATTTGTGTCTAGTAATATGTAATCAAAATCTATATTTATTTAAGGATTTTTTTTTAAATTTCAGTGCATTTATTAATTTTGTTTTAAAATCAGTTCATCATTTGGCAACATTGCCGTTTGTGTTCATTGTTTATATTTTAATTTGTATCAATTATAATTCGAGTTTTTTTCTTACTTTTTAGCTTTAAATTTGTTTATTTCTTATAGTATGTAATATTTATATTAAAAATGACATAATTATAAATTAATGTATTTGCCTGAATTTAATGCATTGTGCAACACATATCACTTCAAAGTCCTTCATTTCAGTGAAAAATAACAAATTCAGTGTAAAAATGAATTCAAAATAAATATAAAATAAGGTTATGAGTTATGAGCACCACCACAAAACATTCACTTCAGTTGGTATGAGTTCTAAATCTAATCACGATGTGATAACTAATCGTATTTCAAATTCGATGTTTTAAATGGCGGCCGATAACTCATCATTTGATTACTAATCGCTCTTTTATATATCATTCAGCAGAAAATCATAAATCGATTGCTTCTGCTGAATGCGGCCATTGATAATATTATCTGAAAATAGTTAAAAAATCACAAATACAAAATTGCGCCCAAAACAAACACATGTAAATAAACAAACATCCTACTTATAGGTGACAAATGAGAGGCGCGCGAAAATTAATTTGAATCGCGAATACACGTTGGTGTGGGCAACCATCAGTATTTCCAATTTGTTACAATTGTAACAAATCTATTACATTTATGAAGGATTTATTACATTATTATATTTCCAGTAAATCTATTACATTTTCAGTAAATCTTATTACATTTTCACGAACCTAACGATTTAACCTAACCGTGGTGTCTGGATTTTGATTTTACCGTTTACTCCAAACAATATAATAACAAGACGTACTGATTTAAATTTTTATGGTCTGCATGGGGGATTTTGTTATTAATTAATAATGGATTTAGTTTTTGTAGCTATGTTTGTCTAGATATGTTCTGATATTTTTGCAAAAAGATTTTAATTTTATATTATAAAAAACTAATTAAATTTGTGATAAAGAAACCAGAAGCTGCGACTACCGTTATGTACACAAATAGTGGAAAAAACTAAAGGAAGAAAAAACACATTTTACGTTGACTAAAACTTCTATTACATTTTCTTTAAATTGATTACAATTTTGAGAGTTTCTCTATTATATTTCTTCAGAGTGCTCTGACAACACTGGTAACCATATGGCAACCGTCCAGCGATTCGCTATGGGCTGCTGGTACTACGCCGATACTATATATACTATATATAATATAAGTGTTCACGGTCCACTTCAACCGATTGCTGCTGCATAAATGTTTGGCCACTACAGCGGCCTCTCTTGAAGATGTACTTACTTTACTTATATCCCTTATTAGAAAAGGTGTGCTCCCAGGAAAGTGAGTTTCGAGTAAGAGGAGAGCTCTTTCCTCCTCACTCTCTGTAAAGTTTTCATCTGGTTTCTTTAGAGCCATAGTATCTACCATCCCTTTTGCCAGGGCCTTGTGCAGTCTTGCTGTCGCAGGTGTAGAGTTAATCTCCTCGCATAATTTCCTGAAGCTATAACATTTAGCTTTTCTGATTGCTCTGTCGTAGGTGATAAGTATCTCGGCGTGTCTCGGTGTACCGCGACCAATCTCCGCTGTTTTATATTTGAAATTTGACAGATGGCTGTTCCACCAAGGAGCGTCTCTACTAAATCTATTTGGTTGAAGGCAGCAGATTGATTCATATGCCTCAAGTATTGCTTTATTTAGATTTTTGAGATCGCTTTCCAGAGCTAGTGCATGCTCCTGTTTAGTCTGTGCTATTTTTTTTAAAGTAGTGTTGAATTGGTCCCAGTCTACTTTTATAGGATTCCTCCTAAGGATCGCCTCAGGCGTGTCGCAATCAAACTTAAACACAATTATCTTTTGATCAGATAGAGATTGTTCACTCGATACTTTCCAGTTTGTAACTACATTTGAATGTTCAGTGTATTTAATGTGATATCTAATACCTCACTTCTTACCCTTATTACAAATATATTTTAGAAATCTCTCACCTCTTTGAATGGTATCGTTGTTTCCCCATATATGGTACTGTATGCATTGGCGTCGCATCCATGAAGTAATGGCAGATTTCTTCTCTGACAGTACTCCACTAATCTTCATACTTCCAGGAGTGGTACAGGCCCATCCCCTGCCAAGTAACTAAAAGCTATTACTCTATCTTGCCGCCTCATCTCAAATTCCAGGTATGCTCGAATTGGGACGAGATCCCGCGTTATGAATTCTGAAAAAAGGATATTTAATATTACTCACCATACGTATTTTTGTAATTTCGCAAAGTACCGTCACAAAATATATAGAAAAGTAGGTTATTTTTGAGGTTTTGTTTGGTGGTTCGAAAAAAATTAACACAGAATACTGTTTTCATATCGAGCTAGTGAAAATGAAGCAAGTAAACACTAATTCAAACTAAAAACTAAATTAATGATTGGTTTTTTATTCTAGTATAGATAAAAATCACAATTTTAAATTCATATCAAATCTACTTTGTAATCACCAGCCTTGTTACCCAAATGGATCATACAAATTCTGATTCTCTGTTGAACTTTAATTATTTCTGGATGAGGAGGTTTCGTAAATTTAAACAAAATTTCCAATCCACTTATAAACTTTTTCATTGCTGGCATCAGTTGTCCCATTCCAAACAAACTTTCTGCTTCTGGAAGAATTTCATCCAGTACCTAAAAAACAAAGTCATTAAATGGCATTCATAGTTAAGAAAACTTTAGTAACATGTCGCCCATCATGCTAAAGGCACAAGAAAAGAAGTACCTACACTTATAATTTTACTAGCAATATAGAGAAGACTAAAAATATTAATTTATACATACCATCAGACCTTTCAAATTAGGTAAAATACTATTAACGCTTTTACAGTATTCACAAGTTAAAAAAGGATCATCATCTCCTTCCAACAAAAATACAAAAGGGCATCGATCAGTTTTGCAAGGAATTCTCAATTCGTTGTCTTTCATTTCTTTAAACATCGGCCACATCTCTATACAGGGCGGACACAAACATTCGAACCAATAGTTGTTTTTCAACATATGTTGACGTTCTTGCACTTGCATGTTCATGTAGAGAGGTCCATAGTTTTCGTAAATTATGTCTCCAGACTTAATTGGTTTTATTGTTCTAACAACTATTTTGCTCTTTATGTTGTACCTGCAATATTTGAAACAATATTTGAAACGATAATCATATATTAAGAAAATCAAGAATTTTCTCTTCAATAAATTATATGGTCAATGCTTCAACAGATGTAATAATTGGTCTATCTTTTAAAGTAGTTAAATGAATGGGAGTCGTAAGTAGGTAGTGAACGTTTATATGCTATGAAAAGGAGCAGAATGATCGATTAGATCATTCACTGTCTATTTTCAGACTTAGGATCTTGTGTTTCTCTAATTTATATTTTAACATGAACCAATTCTAAGATGGGAGGCTTTTAGAAGAAAAATGGCGAGCGCTAACATTTAAAAAGAAATTACCTGACTATACTAGGATCACAAGAGTGATTAAACAATGCTAAAGTTGGATATAATCCTGCTCCAATAGTTGCATTTTCATACTTAGTCATAGTTCCCTCAACTTGTACGGGTTTACTGAGATTCTTCAATTCAGACACTTCATGAGCGTTAAACTGCAATAGCTGCAAATGTCTCAAAATTAAACTTCCAAAATATACTTCATCATCATTGAAAACATCATCAGTGCATTCGAAAGGAAAATATTTTCCAAATTTCAATAATCTTAGTAAAAATATTGCCATGCATGTAAAATGCAACAATTCTTCCTTTTTTCTCATAGTTTCATTCCTGCACAGGAAAAATACATTATCATAATCATCATAACGATAAACTTTTTTTTTAATAATATTCTTTTTGCAGTTATCTTTCAGATAATCTTTAAGTTTGTTCTTCTTATCATTGAAATAAGAAAAATGCTTCTGACTTATTATTCGTAAAGCTAACAAACAATTAACTGAAGCTCCTGAAGAGTAAAGTGAGGCTTGAATCGGACATTCGACTTTATGAAACGATTTATTAGCTAATCTTTCGCAAATAGTACTACAAAAAACAACATTAGCACACGTTGGACACGCTATGAGTTGTTCTACAGCTGTGAAACAGTACTGGCAATTAGTTAAAGCATGATTAGTGTCAACTACTGCACAATGAGCATTTTCTTCCACTATAATAGTTCCAGTTTCAATGTACTCATTTGCAACTGCATATCTGCCTTGATAAGTATCTTGCTGGAATTTAACTTTCGGGTGAGCTGCAATATACTCTTTGTCACCTTCAAAAATGTCAGGTTCATCCAGAGGTACTAGTTCATTTTTCGATACCAAATCTATTTTAGTCTCTCTAGCTTTCTCAATTTCTTTTATTTTAACTTGTATAGATTTTTCGTCGAGTTTGCTGAACTTCAGACTTTTTAAAGCTTCGTCGTATGCTTCTGAAGCTGATCTTTCGTTTTGCAATGCATCGTAGCATTTTGCTTTCCTTATCCATATTTTATACCTCAGATGTGCCGGATAATTGCCTACTTCTAAGAGGTAGTCTATGTCGTTGAAAACTTTTTTATATTCCTTCAGTTCGAAGTAACTTGCACTACGGTTCGATATAAGGATTGCGAGCAGTTCTCTGGATTCGTCTAAAAACAAGTTAATTTGAATAAAGAACTTAATATATTTTCATTTTTGTTATTAAAATAAAATATTGGATCAAGAAGATACAGAAGACAAAATCAGATATAACGTTTTTGAAAAATTACAAGATTTATTTATGATAAAAGTTTTTAAACGATGTCGGGCTCTTACTATCTCAATATTTCGCTATTGTTTAATTGATTAATAAGGAGAAAACTATAATGAACAATGGCCCTTTCCTATTATTGATAATCTCTACTACTCATGCGCAAATTCTATTTCCGCTTAACATCATCAAAATTTGTCGTTATGTTTCTTACCCTGAGTTTTAATTACAGATCCGCAAATGTCATTTTGTTTTTTCGTTCGATAGTATTGGTATGGGAGCCAGTACAGGGCTGTAGTCAGAATCAATTTTTAGATAGGGCATCCGAAATTTGAAGCAGGGCACGACGTTATAGTTTGGTCAAGGATATAGGGTAGTCAGAGACGTGTATGAAAAGGGGGTCGAAAATAGGTGGACCAGAAAATTTATTTACAAAGCAAACTGCATGGCATGTCGCGTTATAACATTTTTTAAATAAATGAACTAACAGAGGTGGAAAATACCTTTATAAAAATTCAAAATCAATAAAACTAAATGAAACACCAGACCTGCCATTCTCTCGTAAGCCAATACCATTCTTTGCTGAAGCTTGTTTATCACAGTTAACGTCAAAACAGTAGATTCGCATAACGGAGTACTGCAGCCGAATGTTGCCTTTGATGCAAAGAGATCATATGTATCTCTGAAGGCCTTCTTTTTTTTCGTATAAGAATTGAGCTGTATCAAGAATTTCACAACTTGTAGAAGGTCTAACTGCCAAATCTTCTATATATCTGTGTTGTGGAATGAGTTTGTTCTTGTCCGAAAATTGCGGCTTTTTTTCGAAGATAGTCCTTATATCCATACTCACAGTACATACCTTAATTTCGGTGTATAATGGTGAACCCAAGTCTCGTTTTAAATCTGCACAAAAAGTCTTTTGGATTGCTCTTAAATAGCAACAAACACTCAAACGTATTGTCCTATATGAGCGGCAACAAGAAGCCGACGCGGCCGGTGCGGCCGACGTGGGATAGGCGGTAAACGCGACCAGAGCATCCTACCTGTCAAAAGTAGACACAATGGTTAACTGGCATAGACTGAAGCTGTACAAGCGGCAGAGGCGGAAATATCAAATATTTTGACCGGCTGTGCCGCCTCAATTATTCGTAGCAAGGCAACATAAAAACAAACTCAAAAAATATGTTATAGACGAGATGGCCCGAGAAAAATTAATTGAAATTCTCAGATTGCCTTCTTACCACGCAAAGTTAAATCGCATTGAACTGATCTGGTCACAATGAAAAAGTTATGTTTCTCGAAACAATGCATTTAAATTACCTGATGTGTGAAATTTGTCTTTGAATGCAGTTTCAGATGTAAATGGAGAACATTGGAGAAAATGCATTGATCATGATACAAAAGGTGGAAAATTCATTTTGGAAAGTGGATATAGTAATGGAAAACTTAATAGACCCTATAATCTCAGAAAAGACAATGATAATGACACAAGTAGTTATAGTGAAGACAATTACTTTTAAAGATAGTTCTTGAACTTTTTATTTTATTGATTTTTGATTTTAGGTACTGAAGTGTTACTTTTAATGTCAAGAGAGTGAAAAAAGTTTAACAAAATTTTAACTATTAGAAGTTTTGGGATAATAACATTAGGTTATTTTTAATTAAAATGAATTTTAGTTAGGGTTTGAATCAGGTTGGAGGATTTGGAGTAATTATTTGAATTTAATTGATACATTTGAATTATTATACTCTTTACATAGTAGTCTGTGAAAATTATCTATTATGGGGTTACTTTCAAACCAATTATTTTAATATGTGACCCAAATTTAAAAATTTTTGTATCAAAATTCTTCTTATCAAATTTTAAACAACTTTTAAAAATGTCCGTCCTACCGATGTCACGTTTTTTGTCCGCACGATAAATCAATAACGAAAAATGATATCATCTTGAAATTTTTAGGAAAAATCAAGCTATTGAATTTGGTTAAATCTGATTAAAAATGGGGGTTTCCCATACAGCACACATTATTTCAGAAGTGTTTCAGAAAAATTTCAAACGTTTCAAACATATAACATTTCAAGCACAAGTTTCTGAAATATTTTAGTTAAATATTTAACTGAAAATGTTTCTGAAACATGGTATACATATTACACAAAAGGTTACTAAACGGGTTATGTTGTAATAGGCCAACAATTAATGAAGAATTTCTGATTTATAAGAAGAAGATGGGATATGTAGTTATTTTATTTCATCCTATGTATGTCAGTGTCCAGTCACCAGCTAGAAATAAGCCTATATTCTAAATAATTATAGATTTGAGTTGTCGGTTTTTAATATTTGTGTCGTGCTGTTGTTCTATGTTCTATGGGAAGTAGAATATCTCTTTAGAAATTGAGGTGAGAACTACATAAATAATACTTGCTTATGTGGAACTTCATGTTTTATTTAGGCACGAGTATTGTTTTATTATAGTTAATTTAAAACATTAATAATAAAACTATTGTTAATCAAATAATTTGTATAAATTCTTTTTTAATTACCTATAATTTGTTTCAGATTAGTGCATTTAAAGGAATTGGTGTTAGTTATTCAACGTTTCCAGAATAAAGTATTAAGGAACATCGTCGATGCATCCTGGTACTGTCGCAATACTGATCCTCATAGGGACCTTAAAGTGGAGACTGTTGAAAATACAACACAAAAATTTGCCAGTAGTCACCAACAACGACTGCTCCAATATAGAAACGTTGAGATTAACCAGCTCCTCAACAATGCCATTCTAATAAGAAGACTCAAAAGAACCAGGCCTTTTGAGTTAGTTCAGTGATATTAGATTAAAGCAGAGTATAGTGCGGTTAAGTGTTATACGTTAACGATAGTGTAACTAAATAATTAGACTTGAAAGTAAACTAGTGAGTAGAATATTAGTTTATGAAGTTTTTCATCCCTAGATAAGTTAGGTAAAAATAAAATTGCTAATTGATCTTAATGATTAGATTGTAATAATCGTGATTGTTTCTTTACTCAGGGCATTTAAAGGAATTAGTGGAAATGAAGCAATTCGCTTCTATATATTTTATGAGATATTGTTTAAAACTTATTTATTTACTTGTTTGTTTAAGAATCAATGTTTGAGTTTTGTGTATTTTAAATAAACATGTATATTTTTTTTAGTCTAATAATATTTTAGAAGAAGAAACTAGATTATATTTTTGAAATATTACTATTTAATATTTCTAAGATTTCAATTTTTCATTTCAGAAATATTTCTGTAAAATATTTATTTAAAAATAAATCATAATTATTTAAAATTAATTTTTGTTTTGGGGTTGATTGATTAAAGTTGGGGTTTTCTAAAAAAATTAAGCTATAACTTTTGTGTTTATTACTTTGAATAATAATAATTAATAATAATAATAAATAATAATAAATACTTTATTGCTTATAAAACACTTAAGTTTACAGCAAGGATATGAGATTTTACAAACTATAAGTACCTACGGAAAGCCTATGTAATACCTAGCAGAACTGTAAGAAATACATTATATTTATTTATTTAATTTGAACAAGAAAATGAACCAGTAATATATTTATACCTATTTAACTTAAAAAAGTATATCAGGATATTAAAAAAAAATGGTAAAAATTTTATTTACTTTTGCAATGACCTCGTTTAAAATATAAATTTTTTACAATTTGATTATATAAATTATTTATTACTGCGATGGCTTAAGTGCAAAACGTCGTAACCCACAAAATTTCAAAAAATCGATTTTTGCGTCATTGGAGTCATATGTTTTAGCTGCGGTCTTATGTAAAACTATCGTAAGCAACAGTATAAAATGAAATTAGTTTTACGCGCCAAAACAAAGAGTTGTTTTTCGAAATTACATCTAAAGTCTACTTGGTTTTTTTTATTCCCCTGTAAAATTTACTTTTTGGGGTTACGACGTTTTGCACTCAAGCGATCGTGATGATAGTTTATTTTATTATTTTAGATCATGTATGCATATACAGTGCATTCCAAAAACTAAACAACAAAATACGAAGATCCTATATAGAGTTCAATATAAAACGAATATTTTATAAATTGTTGAAAAACCTTTTTTGACAATTAAGCGGTTAATAATTGTGTTTTCTATAAAAAAAGTTCGTTAGACCAAAACGAATTAAAAGAACCTTATTTTTATTTAATATATTGGATATTTATTTCAAATTATTTTTATCGTGTTCTTAATAACAAAGAAAAACACAAATACAAAATCGTCCCATTATAAATTTATAGTTGTGTTTTGTCCATTTATGATCTCTCTAAATTAAGAAATAATAAAATATTTGATGAAAAATTGGTAATATAACATTAGTGTTGTACAAAACTGGCCTTTTATCTTTGATTTTAGTAAAGAGTTGAGATATTTTTTACTATATGTATCTAGCAAACTTTTTAAATATTGTTACCTTATTGTAGTATTCTCCTGATGAAGGTATTAAACAACTGCGAAATATTGAGGAGATTTATTTAGTCTACAGACATTTTCAAATTTGTGTTTTCTAAGTAAACAGTCGATAACTAACAAGTAATATTGATATGATATCTGGTTCAAAATTAATTTATTGACGTATTTTTGTTGTCAAAATTTATTAATAAATATTTAATGGACAGTTTTCTAGGAATTGGAAATTGTTTTGAAAAGAAATGTTAGACAGGAGAAAAATTTTAAGAATTATTGTACAAATATATGTATTTTAGAGAAATAAAACGGAGAAAAACAATGTAAAATTTATTTCATATTATTGATATCAGAGTAAGGGTAAAAGTAGTTGTAAGTTGATATAGAAGAAAGAAGACAAGGTGTGAGATAGCGTAGAAGAACGGCGAAGTGCGACAAAAAAGACAATCTTTGAGACATAAATTTTATTAAAATTTTCAATTTTTTAAATTAAATTGTAAGCCAATCAAATCTTGGAGGCAATTTTTTTTTTTGATATTTGTCCAAATTATTGTGATTCCTGGATAATTGTAAAAGGAACCTACGGACCTGAGTTAACAAAAATGTACCTACAACTTTGATTATCATATCAGTATATTTATACATATATTTATTATGGCAATTTGAAATGCAGTAAAACGATTTCACATTAATATAAGCACTGAAAATCAATTCCAAAAGAGAAAAAATACATAAAGAATTGGGGTAGTTCTGCTATTTGGGCAGCTAACTCAACGGATAGTATCTAAAAGAAAATAGATAGAAAACTTGGACTAGCTCAAAACATTTTTAAAAATATGTGCTTAATAGATAAGAATAATGACAAGCACCACATTGTGTATTCAGTGAGTTAGTAAGAAAAACAAGAAGTAATAAAAACAAACTGTAAACAAAGAAATTTTTCATTAACTTTACAGGTACAAGAGAAACATTTAAAAAATATATTTTAGACAAGAAAAAAATTGTGAATTAATAGTTTTGAAACTTTTTATAGTTTTCGACCTTTTATAAATATTTAAGTATAACAGCATTCTTAATTAAATATAAAATAGAAAGTACGTACCTGAATTTTGCGGGCAACTGACAATTCCTATATTGTAAGCTTTCAAAGCATTCACATAATCCTTTTTTCCAAAAAAAGAATTCCCATTGGTTTTTTCTACTTGAGAAACCTCCAAATTTTTCCCATTCAATTCAGTTACAGTTATAGGAATTTTGGTAGCGGCTTCATACAGTAATCTAATTCTAGAATCTTCATCTGTAGTTTCCCTGAAGATTTTTACACATTCTTCAGATAACTGCCCAATGGCCTTCTCACAATACTTTTGAAAGACAGTGTAATCATTTTTGTCATTATGAGAAACACTCATATTGCTTCTAATGACCTATTTATAGTATTTTACCACTTGCTTCTCGACCGAGTATAATTATAGCACACAGTGTGGATCTATTTTTATAAGCACTGTTCTTTTAAGTTTGTACCTATAGTTCTTCTAGACGCCACGTTCAAATAACGGTATGTGGGTATGTTTGATCGTAAATTAAACACCCTGTTGGTTTGATTGATTTGCCCCTTAAAAAAACCTTTGTAATTTCATTCATGATCATATATCCAAACTAATATAAATAAAAAAATAAATGGTTGTATGTAGTTGTAGGTGGTTGATTTTTTTTGCTTGGACTTTTGTTTTTCAGCCAGTCACTTAATGACTATATAACTAATGCAAAATAAATGGTAACCAACAACGGCAACAAAACCAATCTATTACGACAAACAAAAATTAAAAAGGCAATACTTTTCAAAGGAAATAAACAAGGACATTCGCTTCTCCATCAGAACATTTTATCAAGACACACTAGAAATAGGCCACGGTGTGGGTAGGGTAATATAACAAAGGTAATAGGATATGTAAAAAACAAAGGTAACAAAAATTCTAACGAACAAGATGTTGGGGATAACATACTTGTCCAAATTTAGGTCTACTGATTGTTGTGATAAATCTGCTTGTGCCAATATTCTGTAGGTATGGTCAGATGTAACAATGTGTATTTTGTTGAGTTAGTGAAAGAAAATTCACTCCATGAATGTGACCACATTGAACGTAGTTTAGTTTTGAGAGTAACACAGTAATCACCCACGCATAAGTCGTATTCTGGATGTGGATTTCCAATATAAATACTATCTTTGCCAAGTTTATCGACATGCTTATTTTCTGCAAAGCCTATATGAGCTTTTATATACAAGAAACGAATTAGTGTACCAATTAGAGACAATTTTTTTAATTTTAAAGATATATGGGTTACAATTAACAGTTGGGCCTTTAAAACAGAAGGAGAATCAAAAACTAGCACTGCACTATTCCAAATAGAAAATGCAGAATTTAAACTGTGTGATTTTTCTATATTTCTAGATGGAATATAATAAGCAAAAAACCTGTTCCAGTGAAGGTTTTAGAAGATTCAGTATATATGATTAGGGAATTTTTCCAATTAGGGAGAAATGACCTTAATATATTTACTACTTATGCGTACATCATAGTTGAATCATACGATTTCTGTGAAGAAATAGAGAATAGTCAATCAAGTTGTTTCGTAGTGTACTGAGGCACGAGTTGAGTAAGTTCCCATTCTGTATGCTGAATCGGGACCTGCTAGACCTATACCGTCCACCCCCTTACTTTTTCATCCGCTGTAAGGTCTTCAGGTGATAAAATTCATCAGATTTTTATGTCACATTTTCTGATGGGCACGAAAGATGACATATAATCATCATTTAGCAGATTCTTAGATAAGCTTTTAAATCTGGGGTCGTCTTTGTGTTTGACATTCGCGTTTACTGCGTCTCGTGTTTTGTGACTATTCAAGGTAAGTCCAGCTTGTCACCCTAAGTGGAACGAGCCGGGTCAACGGAGTACAGTCGATCGTGTGTTGTTTGTAGGTCATCTGTTGAGGGAAAATAGAGTGTAAATAGCATACTCACCTGTATTAGTTCATTATTTCAAAAAGTGCCATGAGTTTTTGAATATTCTCCTGCTTTTTCGTCGCTTTTTGGGCTTTGGTCGTAATCGAGTTTTTAGTCATATTCGGGTTATTCGTTATAATCGGTTTTTGAGGTTTTGTTGTCGCAGTATAGCTCATTCCGGAGACAGTGTGAGCTGTTCTGGTGATAGCTTTGGGCATTCTTGGACATTCTCGGTAGTTTGCTGGGTGCGGTCCTTGGCAGTTTGCGCAAGTCGCTTTGATCTCCTTTTGTCTTGTGCACTCTTTTGCTCGGTGGTCTTCTCCGCATCTTACACATCTGATGCTCATTCGGCAATTTGACTGGGCATGGTGAAAACCCTGACATCTATAGCACTGGGTAGGTCCTATTGGTGCTCTTAGTGGTTCTACTCGAACTACTAAGCCTTGGCATCTATTGAAATCCTTGATAAGGTTTCTTTCTTGGGGTTTGATGTCAACGAGAAACATCGGGAGTTTCCTTTTGTCTCTCCTTGAACTTTCATCGGGTTTAGTCCAAAATCGGTGAGTTTTTCGAAGATTTCGTTTACCGGAGTGTGTTCTGGTAAGCCGCGTATAACCACTTTATACGGTTTGTCTTCTAATTTATTACTGTAGAACTTGCTACCTATCGTATCTAGATAGGCAGTGGTTTTCTTGTAGTCGTCTGAGGTTTACCAAGTTGTGTTAGGTCATCAGGTTTATATATGTTGGGCAAGTGACGTTGGCATTGTTGAAACGCAATGCATAATGGCGCGAATTTTTTTAATTTCCAATATTTATTAACAAGGTCAAATACATGTAGTTGGCTAATATTTCCAAAAAGTTCTACGTTTTGTAGGTGTACTTTTGTCAGAAAAAGTTTGCCATCTGATTGAAGAACAAACTTTAAATATAGTTACTTGTTACTTTAGATTGTGGCAGTAATTTGTTATTAAATTTAAATAGATGTTGACATTTTGACTTTTTTATTTGATTGATTGAAAAGAAGTGAGATAAGAAAAACGAGGGCGTTAATAAACTTCTTATCTCACAAAAAATGAGTGGGATAAGAGGTTCTTATCTCACGGACGTAGATAAAATAATAAAACTGTTTCTTCATCAGCACCTTACCAGGTTGGTTCTTACCAGAGTTGGTTTTTACAACCATTTTCAGAAAATTCAGTCCCTTGTTACAGTTGTTTAACATGTATTCTACATGCAATTTCCACGTGAGTTTTCTATCAAGGATTAACCCTAAATATTTGGCAAATTTTGTTTAGTAAATATTGTAATTAATAATTTATCTGATGACATTTAAAATCCATTTGTGCTCAGCCAATAATTTAATTTGTTTGCTATGGAGTCTAATGACCCCACTACATTTTCATATTTTCGGTGTTCAGTATAAAAACAAACATCATCCGCATATTGTATAATTTAAAAAAAAATATACGAAAAATACTAAGTTAATGTATTGGCCAAGATGGGGCTCAAAACTGAGCCCTCTGGTAACCCTGTGGATATACCAGTCTATTACAATAGAAATGTACGATACTATTAGCAACATGTGATGGTATATTAAATTGGTTAATCATTACTTTTTATTTTAAAATTGGAAGACATACAGCATCATATTCACCTTCAATGTTCATAAAGAAGAAGCCAAATCTTTATTTTTTGAAAAATTATTTTGTATGTCGATTACGATACTTGTCAAAGCATCAACTGTTCCGAAATATTTTTTATAGCCAAACTGGTTATTAGGCATTAGATTTTGTATTATATAACCACCATTCCAACCTATTTTTGATTAATCTTTCGAGAGTTCTCAGAATGCAGGACAGGAAAAAGATTGGTCTATAATTTAGGTTTTTACCCGGTTTCAATATCGGGACAACAACAACCTCCTTAAAAGCCATAATACTATTACTATTTACAATGATATCATTATATAAAATATATAAAGATTAATTTGAAATGTCAGATAAATTGGTTAACATAGGATACTTAATACTGTCATTTGTCTAATTCGATCATAGACAGCTAGAAAGTGATTAGTATCTTAAGATGATACATTTTTATTTGTAGGAAGTAGGGGGAGCAATTTTATCAAATAATGATATGATCCAATCATCATTTAAGGAACGGAGAGTCGCTTCTTGTCTTCTGCTTATTTTTCTTGCTTGGTTCCAGAGGTCATGAGAATGAATATTTTTATTAAGTTTAGAACACCAGTTAATCCAATTTTTTTTTGCTTTATTTTTTAAATTTTCTTTTTATATTCAGCATCATTTTTTTGGCAATTTATGTAATTAGACATAATTGGGGAATCCTTATAAATTCTTAGAGCCTCTCACGTCAGTTGTTCACAAACGGTGTCACATTTACGATCCCATCACTAGGGAGGTGAGGGGCGTTTTTTACATTGAAAAGGTTTATAAATGGGTATCGATTGAGTGGCCGCATTATTAATAATATCTATAAGAAAGTTATATTTGTCATTATTATCTGCAAACAATTTCGAATGTCGACTCTAAAAAATTTTTCATAGAGATTTTTATCACCATGAAAAAAAATTTTTAAAATCCATTTTCAGACATTTTTTTATAGTTAAACAGCTTTGAATTTTTGTGTTCCCGTCACTTATTTTAAATTAGTTTGTTTTTGGTGTGTATGTTTTTTGTTCGTTATTCATTGAACTACAATATTCTATATAAAATTCTTATATAAGAAACCAAAAAGTTTCTAAACAAAAAAGAAAATTCATTTTGTGTTTTATATTCTATCAGCGACGCACCCCAAAAAAGTTCTGGGGAAGAAAAGGCGGCTTGATCCCTGAAAAAATATCACCCTGCAGAACCATTTGGCATGCCAATGATGAAAGCCCTACAGCGTAACCTAAATTCCAAAGTTGAGCTAAATATCTCAATAACTGCAGGAACTATTAATAAAAAATATAAAAAATCTTTCAACACTTTGTATCTCGAATACAATGCAACTTTTTACTAACTTAACCCCACTAATTTTTTAGTACTTTACCTACGACTAGTACATAGTCGTTGACCTAACCTAGCAACGGAGTCACCATTATACAGGATGGTCCGACGAAAACGTACCAGATCCATTATCAGGATTGTGTCAACATTTTTGACAAACGCTCGACGAGCTAGACATCTTTCTATCATATATATTGTCATCTGTAATACGTCATTTCCTACCAAAGATATATAAAACCATTCCCCTACACCCTCCGTCACTTCAACCAATCCAATTTAAATAGGAAAATAACCAAATATTATTAATAAGGTACTTTTGTGGACAACTTTTGATTTCAGCCCCCGTAGTGCGATAAAAAGCCATTACGTATTGAAAATTGTAACATATTTTAAAACTATTAATAATTTAGTTTACAAATTATAAAAATATAATTTAATGAAACGTGAACTATAATACCTGTTAGTTCTGATAATACCTAATTGAAAAATCTTGCAGACGTTAAGAATTAAAACAATAAATTACAAATAAAATTAGCTTTCAAATGAAGTGTCACACTTTCTAACACGTAAAAGTTTTTTATTCCACTAGGGGACGCTAAACTCAAAATTAACGCCTAAATTCTCCATAAAGTTAGCTGTTCAATGATGTGCCAGACTTGGTACTTTCTCTATTTAAATTGTATATAAAATGTTGATGCCCTTTCTGATACTGGCACTAGTGCTTTTTAGTCGGATCGCCCTGTATATATAATTGTACGGATTTTTAGTTTTGCTACAAGTTAAGACCTTACATCTTGCTAAATTAAATAATAATTTATTTTTTATGGAACAATCGGAAATTTTTACTAAATAATTAATGACTCCAATTTTGTGAAATAATTTTAATTCATCCACATGTAGCCAGAATGTCACTTACTGGTAGGTCATTATTAAAGATTAGAAACAGAAGTGATCCTAGGTTTGAACCTTGTAGAACTCAAAATCCAGTTAAAAATATATGTGGTAATTCACCTTTATGATACAAGTTAAATTTTTAACTTTAAGTATGAAATAAAGTAGTTTAATAAGTGATCACTTTGTCAAACGCTTTGGCAAAATCTGTATAAATATATGAGCGATTTACAAAAATGTTTCTAAAGTTAGAAAAATTCATGTACTTCTGAAGGTACAGTACAGATACATTCAAGAAGTTTTGCTGTAACTTTTTTTAATAATGTGCAGTGTTTTTAAGACTTAAACTCGCTTTTTTTTAAATGTTTGATAAAAGAAGGGAGAAAAGTGAATATTTACATCCCTATTTTCTACGTCAATAACTAAACGGGATATTTTATTTTGTATCACTTTTATGGGACATACAACATGCATTAAAAATTATAAGTCAACAAAAGCGTATAATAAGGTACCTAATCCTTTTGCGTATGCCACTGGCAAAATCGAATTAATAGTATTTTCAGGTGAAAATAAACAGAGATTTCAAGAAAACATAAAATATCTTCATTTAGTCATTGAAATAGAAGATATGGTGCGTGATACTTGATTTATTGATTAATACCTGTTCTACCGTATTAATTATTTTTTATAACACGTCACTCGGCGCGTATTTAGTTTCATTTTTTCAATATTAAATTACATCCGAGAGTACCTACCAGAAAAATATTAGGTATACGTTGTAACAAGTCGGTCCATTAAGTAATAATTACATATAAAAATAAAATAGGTATTACCTAATTGGTACCTAGTCCGTATCCATAAAGGTTTTTTATTTAAAACAGAATACGTATCTATCTATCTACATTCGTTCTAAAACAAAAACTAATCAGTGCAAAATGCCGAACGTTACTAATTTGGTTATTTTAGTGAAGGAAAGCTTAGGTATTTTATATTTTTGTTTATTTTATTCTAATCAGAATACTTTTTTATATCAGTAAAAAACTGATGTAAAAAATAATCGGTTAACTGTAATGGTGGTTGTCTATACATCAGATACACAAAATACGAAATCGTATTGTGTAATCGATATCGATACTGGTTATTCGATTCAAACGTTAAATTTTTCTGATAAGTTCCCTTTAATTACTTGATTCTTGATTTGACATTGACGTTTTAGTTTTCAGTATTAGTTAGGTTATGAAATTAAATCCATTGAGTAGCTATGTTTACGTGTACAAACAATTAAAATAATATTTTTCCAGTATATTAAGTAAATTCTGTTTACGACAATGTCATTCATTAAAGTTTGTCCGCTTCGAAAATTAATACATTTTTAATAATGCATCTTTTACACAGATCTTGCAATGGAAAAAATCACCACTAATATAAAGCATAGAAGGAAAAATAATTATAAATCAAACAGGATGTCTGATGGTGAAGAAGGTGATATTGTAAGTATATTTTTAACTATTTGGCCCTTAAGTGACGTGTCAAGTAGAATATACCTTTCATACACACTAAATTATTTCTATTTTATTCATACTAAAGTAAGAATACTCTTAATCATTATTATTAATATACATATATAAAAAAAGAGTGCCTTGTGCCTGCCTTTGAATAACTAGAAAAATTGAAAAGGACTGCCAAATTATATTCTGAAAAGGAAATTGATTTTCATTAACAATTCTTTTATTTGAACATTCATATTAATAAATAAAAATATTTAGTGAACACTAAACATGAGGAGAATTCATACAACTGTCTTTCTGCATTGGTAAGGTTTGTTTATATTAAGCAACATTTAAAGGATAGTAAAAGTGTAGTATATTTACTATCAAATTGATGTATGTATAGTTGCTTTTAGCCCTTTCACAGAGAATTGATTTAGTGAGGTCAGGGACAAAAAAAGTAATGTTAATATATTTAAAAAAATATAAAGCTACTGTTAGGAGACAAAAATGATTATTCAAAGGATTTATAAATAGATGTTTCAGTGTTATATAATAATGCAGTTGCAGATTAGCTATTAATCTCTTTTTCACTTAGTTGTATAAAGTGGATAATGTTGCAATTCAGATTTCATAACTTCTCAGATAAATATATATTATTTTAAAGGTATTTCAAAATGTAATCTCTCAATCTTGCAGTTTCATAAAAATGCAAACTCAAATATTTTTCTTTGTAAAACTACAGATAAAACATTTATTAAAGTATATCTGTTTATTAATTTAATAAATTTAATTAGTTATCATAGTATATATAATAATCTAATCCTAATCATTTATTTGAACAAAACTTTCGAATAATTATTTTTTGTAAGTTAAAAATGCAAAAATAAGAATTATCACAAGTTTATCAGATTCTGGCAGAAGTAAAATTTGAGACAGATGGCAGATATGTTTTTTGTTGACAACATCAATTTTTTACTCGTCAAATTGCCACCTTCATCTACTACTTAAATGATTTGGTTTTTACCAACAATAGTTTAGCAACCACAATAATCAAAATATGGGTATTAATAGTGTTTACTCATATGCAAATGCAAATTGATGTGCTGGTACAATCAAAAGAATGTTAAGCAACCAAGGGGCTAAGTCAGAACTTTGTAAAAAAAACTCCATAGAATATTAAACTTTTTTATAATTTTTACAATTTGTACTCTTATCTCTTATTTGACAAACAGGTCTTAAAAGTAACTATATGACTTCAATATAAAAAGGTAGATTAAAATAAATAATGGACAATATAAAAATAAAATAAATCATAAACTAGCGTCTTCTAATAAATAGCATTTTAATTTTGAATTTAAAGATGTAACTTTTGTGTTACTTTTTATATCAGTAAATTTATTGTATTCACATAGCCTGTTGAAAACTATTATTCCTAGTACATTTCTTTGAAAATTGGTGAACATGAAATTTTTGTCGGTTTTGGGCTTGAGGCATACCACTTAAATTTATATGTTTATTAAAACATATTTTTACTTTGTAATACAGTCGTCAACAATACCCAGGTGACTATAAAATAATGTCACTGCCATATGACAGAACTGATTATTAAGCTGTCATAAAAGTCACAGTCACATTGATAAACATAAACATTTAGTGTAAGACTGAAAGTTATTTGGGTTGTATAGAGGAAAAAGGTTGTGGCACAAAATATTGTACAAGAATGAGGATAGAGGAGATCCTTGTGGAACACCTTGGGAAGAACAAAATGAGTCAAAAAACAGTCATTAACTTTTATGAGCCAAGAGCGATTTTCTAATAATAATCAATAATAGTTTATTGATTGTTTCTACATAAATAGGATTAAAAATTCCAATACATTATAGTCCATTAAGAAGATTTAAATAAATGAACCCAAACCACAAGTAATTTTAATTCCATTAAGTTATAACTAATTAACTAAAGGATGTCATTATTAAATCATTAAATTAGAAAACATACATTTTATTCAGTTGCAAGGAAAACTTATTTCACAGAATTTTTGTTAGCTATATGTCCTTCACTCTCGTGTGATCTTCCTCTGAGTGCCACGAGATTTTCTGTCTACTGTAGTAGCACATGATTTCCTATTTCTACATTTATTATTGTATTAACATTTTTTTCAAATAGCTTGCCTATTGATGCTAATAACGGAACGGTAGATAGGGATTTGGAAATTTTTAACAATAACCAGAATCTTTGAATAATTTAAAATTGAAATTAACAGCATGTCGTGGTAGACAAATATAAATTATCAAAATTAATGTCTTAATGTCTGTGTTTTAATAATAATTAAGAGTATCAGCTGCACATAATAGTATATTATGCAACGATTATGTAATAACCATTACATGAGAGTTTCATACGCTATTTTTTCTACACCCGATAAATAATCAAGAACTATAAATATTATATTTATATTTGTATTGAACACAATAACAGTAATTACTCGTATTTCTATAAAAATTCTACAAAATTGTAATTAATGGTATTATCTCGGGTATTGGTATTACCATAAATTTTTGGGGAAAAATATTTTGTACTGCATTTTCTGCTTTCTCTGATATGTGTGGAGGAGTCGATGGTATCAGACATTTTGATAATATAATTATCGAAGTGTAGCTATGTACGAAAATTTAATACGTACTGATTTTGACAATTAAAACGATTACATAGGAACATAGGTCAAACGTCAAATGCACGGCATGCATGATTGAAAAATTATGGGTTTCTATTGATTAAAAGTCTGTATCGTTATGAAAAATCTGTATCATAATTGGTATCATTATGAAACGGATTATGGGCATATAAGTGCATTATTATAATACGGGTGTAGAAAAATGTATTTTACATTCAACAACTTCCATATATCATTAATATAAACTAAAAACAATAGTTGGCCACTTCCTTGTGGGACTTCTAGGTCATTTGGTATTTGTAAAATCAGTTATGAGGTATATGTTTGAAAATAAATATTTTTTCAGGATGAAGACAATGAGGTGACATCTGATACTTGCGTATTACTTAACAGTGGGCTTTCCTCAAAGACTGATGTACTTATTAAACAACAAGAACCGCTATGGGTAACAGCAATGCAGATGTTTGTTCCTTTTCTCCTTGCCGGTTTTGGAATGGTAGCTGCGAGTTTATTACTTGACAAAGTTCAACATTGGCCAGTGTATCAAAACGTCACCGAAGTTTACATATTAGTACCTGCTCTTCTAGGTTTAAAAGGAAATTTAGAAATGACCCTGGCATCTCGACTATCCACCCACGCTAATCTGGGTCACTTAGACACTCAGAATCAGATGATCAGCTTAATTACAGGAAATCTTGCCTTAATATTGTGCCAAGCCATTGTAGTGGGGTTTCTAGCTTCAGTGGCTGCTGTTATTTTTGGTTGGGTACCTACAGGAGAGATTAATGTCAAACACACTCTCTTGTTATGCGCCAGTAGTATTGTTACAGCTTTTGGAGCGAGTTTTATTCTTGGTTTTGTTATGGTTGGGGTTATTATAATTTCAAGGTACTTTAATATCAACCCAGATAATGTAGCAACTCCTATAGCTGCTAGCTTAGGAGATTTAACAACTCTGGCGTGCCTATCATGGTTAGCCTCTATTTTCTACCACACTATGGACACTCATCCATATTTAACTTCCAGCTCTATAGTTTTAGGTTTACTTATGGTGCCCATTTGGGCTTGGATAGCCAGCCGAAATGAGCATACTCACAAAGTACTCTTCAGTGGTTGGAGTCCGGTGATTACAGCTATGATTATCAGTAGTATAGGAGGTTTAATTTTAGATTTCACGGTATCCGAATTTAAAGGAGTTGCAGTGTTTCAACTAGTCATTAATGGAGTTGGGGGGAATCTTGTTGCTGTTCAAGCGAGCCGGATCTCAACAGAACTTCACAGTATTGCACAACCAGGGCGTTTGCCACATCACATGCAAGTTTGTATGAGTCCATGTTCAGCATTTTGTGATAAAAAGGAAACGAGTCATGCTGGTACCGCTCAGATGCTTATGCTGATGGTAATACCTGGCCACTTAATATTTACTTATACAATCAGTTACTTAGAAGCAGGTCATACATCTCTTACATTCATTTTTGTAGCGGTGTATTTGTCCGCTGCGTTGTTACAAGTATTTTTGTTGTTATATATTGCCCAAATTATGACTTTGAATATGTGGAAACTTGGCATTGACCCTGATAATTCAGCTATTCCTTATCTAACAGCTTTGGGAGATTTATTAGGGACTTTACTTCTTGGAATTGCATTCCATTTCCTCTACATCATTGGAGATAGGGACAGTGATGTTGGAGATTAAAGTCTTCAAGGATGGACTGTTCTGTTTAAATGCCATACTCGGGGCCATATACTTAGATATTTTGTGATCCTGTTTTATTGTACAAATCCTGTTGGAATCAAAGAAATTGAAAATTCTAGGTGCTATTTAATAATAAATTTTTCTATTAATTTTGTTTTTATTTACAAGCCTTTAACAACTAAATTAATCTTTATATGGCCTTCTTATCTACTGATGACATTAACAAATAATGTGATTATGATTAATATTTGCAGTTTAACGAAAATAAATATTGTGGAATTTCACTTAAAATTATTTTTTATCAAAAATAATCAACTTACAGGGTGGATCAATAGAACAATCTAATAATTTTTCACAAACATATTGTCACTAAAAAGCAATTTATTAAATTAAAACGAACAGAAACGAGAAAAAATGATTAAAGCCTACTTCAATATCATTTAAATATACAGGGTGGGCCAAATATTTCCGCTCTGGGTATAGCAGCTAAACTAGAAGTAAAATACTGGGAATTAGGTACACACTAGACACTATAGGTAAGTGAAATCGAGTCAGTGTGTATAATTACTTTTAATAGTATGATAATAATAATATTTATTGGCAGAAGTAAATACATGAGTAACAAATAACAATTGGTTATATCTGGTAATATGTCAATAAATATTTGCAATATCTACGAGACTGAAGGGCCAGTGTGTAGATTAAATAATTTAGACAATTTTTAAACTGAACTAACAACAAAATTAAACGTTTTAAAAATAATACGAAGGTTTTGTTACTCAAGTAAAATGTTTTTTTTACTGAATGATATAAATTTTAGATTTGTGTAATTTTCAATTAATATGCGCAATTCTAGTCGTTCTGTTTCTTTAACAAATATTTTTGGTCTTTTTAAATTTAGAAATTGGTACATTTATCTGTGTTTCCAGCAAATAATTAAACATTTTAGGTGCCATAAATTATTTTTTGACCTATAGATTTGCACATATGCTGAATTAGAATTTTTTCCTTTTGGCGATTCATGCAAAGATTCTATTAATCCTCCATAGAAAGTGGGTTTGCATTCATTCAACCTTAGAAGCAATATTGTTATTAAAATGAGCTTTAGAGGAAGCACCAGATCTGCTTGTAAGTGTCCATATTCCTTTATTAATTCTACGTTATCAGTTAAGGTATTAAAACTAGTAATAAAAATATTTGCATAAATTCCATTATCTGTTTTTTGTTTAACGATTATTACATTTTGTTATTAAAAAGTAGATTGAATAAACAAAATCGAATCAAGGGGACCACAATATGTTATTTCAAACAAAGGACCAGTGGCGGCCTGCAAGGTCACCGGAAATTACACCGTTGAATTTTTATTTATATGGATAAAATTTATTAATTTCACGGTAACAAAGTAATTTTTTACTAGCTTTCCAATGAAGGATGAAAAGTAGGTAGTGGTTATTTTTTTATTTTTTTTGAAGTAGGTGGCACATAGGAGGTTGAAGGAAGTAAATATTGGATTTTGGTAAATGAAGAGTAGGAAAGAAAAAGTCCTTTATATATCATGATGATTGTATTTCTTTTGAAGCTACACCGAAGTCTTAAAACTTCTGACACGCCTAGTGGGTATGAGAAAATAAGTATGGTGAAATTCTATAGATAGAAGCAAGAAAATAAAGATTTCATTTTAAAAATTAGGTAATAAGGAAACTCAAAGTCATTTAACACATAATTTTATTTTTGTTTAAGCGGCGACTAGTTTCGGCCTCTATGGGCCATCATTAGGACTACAAATATATGTTAAAGACAGTGTCGGATTGAGCCGTAGCTCTACCGGTCAAAAGACAGGTAGGCCCTTGTTCAAATAGTGGGCCTTCGTTCAAGCAATGGGCCCTCGGTCATGCAGCGGGCCCTTGAGAAGAACAAACAAAGAATTAAATGCAAGCAACCCCGCAATACGTGAGATTTTTTTTACTCTTCAATGAAAAAGGTGGGCCCGCCAAAAGTTTTCAAGTGGTTCCTTGGTCCAGATCGTCTAGTGGTTGAAAGCCTATAACGACAATGGACGTGTGAGTTCGATTCCTGCTCAGTTCAAGCGATTTTTGATTAAAAAAAAGAAATGGTGTAGAGCGGGTTGCAAAAATAATTAATAATATTAAATAGTGTGTAGTGAGTTGCGGTTATGTAAAAAGAAAAGGGGGATATATATGATCTCAATGGATTATAATCCAGTAATGGACGTTTTTTAAATGTCTGGTATTCAACGTCCAAATATACCTAATTCAGAATTGGTCAAAAGTGTGCCATTTGTATACTTTACTGCACGTCCATTGGAAGCCAGATGTCCAGAAAAAACTAATTTTTTGACGTCCAGACATACAAAATTGTATGTCGAATGGACGTACAATGGACCTGTTTGTGCTGTCTGAGGGGGAGGATAAGTGTTAGTTAATAGAGCCGATTCCTGGTATCCTCTATCCGATCCTCTTCTAAGTGTGAGTTCCATGTTAACTTGCTGTCAAAGGTGAGACCTATGCACTTTTTACTTCTATTGCAAGGGTTAGTTTTGTGATAAGGATCTCTGAAGGTTTTAGTTTCATTTTCATATTTTTCCTTGTGGAAAGGACCATTTCTGTTTTTTTGGGATTGATGCACAGTGAATGGTCCTTCCACCACTTTTCTATATTTTTGGGAGCTACTTGCATTCTTTCGCAAAGTACGTTTTCAAAATTTCTTGTTTGTAGAATGACAAACAAGGTCATCTGCATACACCATTGTGTAGTGACTTCATTATTAAGACGGCTGATGAGGGTGTCAAGGACCATGTGAGGTGAGCACCCCTCCCTGTGGACATCCCCTTGCAACCAAGCCTCTTATATTTACATCTTCTACACTTGTTTACTGCTCGCTTTGAGAGCATGTTATGTATCCACCCACTAACCATCTGTGGAACGTTACTGTTAGTGAGGGGAAGGTGGTTTTGTTAAACGCACCTTCTATGTCTATATATGAAAACACCCAAGGCGAACTCCTTATTATCCAAGGCTCTCTCTATCAGGCCAGCAACTAGGTGAAGGGCTGAATCAGTATATCCGCCTGAGGTGTATGCATATGTTGATTTGGGTGTAGTGGTGTTGTACTCACCACATCCCTTATGTACCTTTCGCATAGCCTTTCCAATGTCTTCATGGAAAACGATGTTAAATTAATTGGTTAGTGTAATCCATCCTTCCAGGTTTGGATACGAATACCATTTTTACCTATCTCTATTTTTTGGGGATAAACCTCAGAGCTAACGAGGATCTGAATATACCTACCAGGTGCTGTGTGAGTTTTTCCAGACCCCACTGAAGTAGGGCTGAATAGATACCTTCAGATTCTGGCAACTTAAATGGAGAGAAGCTAGATATTGCTCATCTAATTTTGTGATCGTCTACAAAATGTTTGGCAGTTTGCCAGTCGTAGCCAGATGGGTTGTATTCTTTCTCTGCCGTCATCCACGTCTGTGATAACCGAGTTAGGGAAGTGTGTTGACAGCAAAAGTTTGATGCAATCTTCGAGATTAACAGTTTCCATGCCCATCCTCTTTGATTAGCGCACCAATGCTGCAGTGAGCTCTTCGATTTCTTCGCAGTATGATCTCCATATACCTCTGTTTTTGTCTAATGATTTTTTGTATTTTCTGAATTGAGATTTGTAAGTATCCCAGTCCTCTTTGAGTTTTGTGGTTATTGCCTTTTCTAATCATCTTCCTAAGGTAATCCAACTTGTAATACCACCATAAGGTAGTCGTCTGATCGCGTTGGATCAGCCTGAGGAGGCAGAATTTTTTATAGGCATTGTTTATTGTGCCTTGGGTAGTGTTCAAGTACTTTTGCAAAGCATTGTTATTGTTTGGTGTTTCGTCCTCGACCTTTCTCAGAGCATCTTGGAAAAGGTGGGCATACGTTGCCCTGTCCGTCTTCCTAAGGTTCTGAGATAGCGTGGAGGTCATAGCAACATCAAGTTTATTTTGAATATCAACCAGCGGTGGTCTGACATCGAAATATCAGACACTTGCCAATTTAAAATTGATTTATAGATACCAGTTGTGGATAAAGTGACATCTATTAATGTTTTACTGCCAGAGTTTAAAAATGTTGTTGTAGTACCTTTATTTAAAATACCAAGATTTTTGGTAATGCCATGAGAGTGCCAGCAGCTACTGTCAAATCGGCTAAAATATCAAGAAATGCTAGTTCATTTACATGAATTAAAATCAGTAATCCCCAAGAACTGGCCCTTGAGGAATACCCCTGTGAATCTGAAGTCGTGTTAACAATGTTCCCTTCCGGACAAGTAAGATTCCATTGACTTCAGAGCAATATATTTAATTCCTTAATTAAACTTTTGCAGCAGCAATTCGTGGCTTACACAATCAAATGCTTTTGTTAAGTCAACTACTACAGCAGCTTTACCTGTTGTAAACTATTTCTAAACAGTTAAACATTGCATCTATTTGCTAGATTCCTTACGAAATCCAAATTGATTCAGTGTTAGAATTGAATTCATAGTTTTTATGTAGTAGTATTAGTACCCTAGTTTTAAGAAAATATAGATACCTAATCTGAAACTTCCATTAATAAGAATTGTTATTACAGACAAAGCAGAATCTAATATTTTGAGAGATATTTCACCATACTCAGAGGAATATTATTTTTTTATTATCTCCAATGTATCTTTTAGTGCCTCCTCGTTAGTTCCAGTTAGAACGAAGGTCGAAGGTAGGTTGGTAGTGCATAAAAGCATCGGGTTAAGGTCTTATTCACAGAATCAGCAATATTATTTACAATAGTACTCATTTAAGTTATTAGGATAATATTTCTATTATGTTTACCTCTAAGTTCATTTACAATTTTCCAAGTATCTCTTGTTCCATTGGGATAATTGTCTAATTTGCATTTATAATAGGTGTCTTTTGAGATTCTGATTACATTTCTATATATTTTTCTATTTTTATTATAATAGTTCATAAAATAGTCATCTCGAAAATATTTGTGAGTGACCTCAAGAATAAACACGTATGCAGACACAACTGAATGGTAATAAAAATGATCAGAGGAATGAAGAAGAAAACAGAAAGACCGCATTTAATGAATAAAAAAGAGAATGGAGAGGC